TTTAAAATTGAAATAAATACATAAATAATAAAAAATACGAGAGTACAATTTTACAATGAAAGTCTACTGTACTGAGAAGCAATTATATTTGCCTTAAGTAAATAAAATTTAAATCTTCTAAACTATTGAAATAAATATAAAAATAATCAAGAGATACAAGACTAAAATTTTAAAATAAAAAGTCTATTGTTCTAAGTAGTAATTATAAATACCTTATTTCAAAATATGCATGACTTTTAAGATGACAGTTCGTTTTATCTTTCGTCGCCTCTAAAGAGTTGAACTCGACCCCGAATGTCTTTACTAAAACGATAACTTCTTTAGGATCTCAGTTGTAATGGCTTATTCGTCAAAAATATTTTCAATAATCATAGAACCGTTAGATAGCTCTTGGGATTAATAATATATATAATTATAGCTCCAAATAGGGGGCCGGCCTCACCCCTTAAATCCACCTTTACAAACTCTGCTTTAAAATAAACTCTCCCGCCAAATACCTCTCCTTTACGTAAACACATTTGGGTCATGCTTTTGCAGCTATCTGGTCCAAGTTAAATGAGATATAGAATTTTTATTTCTTTTAAAGTGATTTTTGTTGTTGCGGATCTAACCTATTTCTGTCTCGATTAGCTCTATTTGAATAGATGATGTCGGATTATAAAGTGTGCATAAAATGATCGGGTCAGATGCACACTTTAGACGACCACCAGGAATGCTTGCGCGATATGGCCATGTTTGCACCCTTCACATTTATTTCGAGCACAAACTACTGGTGCATCTGGGAAAGTTTAATGGCATGTCTGAACCTAGATATATAAAATCTTATTTTTTTATATACTTCAAAGGACAAGTTACACTAAGGGCCGTATTTGGTCCCCTATTTTGTCACAAAATAATTTTCATGACATAAATGAACTTAGCATCGGAAAAGATTTGCAGAAATCTGTTCTTCAGTAGCACATGCGTATTTTATCTTTTAGTAAAGCAGAAACCTGATTTTGGGTTGCTTAAAGTGCTTTGAATACGTCAAAAGGTAGAAAAATGTTGATTTTTGGACTGACATATTTGGTTTCAAAAGGACTCCGCCAACGTTAGCAACTGTAATAGTTAGTGATTAAGATGGCATACAAACGGGGTTTGCAGACTAAGAAAAGAAATTATTGGCTCACTTTGGCGGAGGCACTCAAAAATTAAAAAAATCTCTTTTAAAAAGAAAACCAATAACTTTCGTCGAAATAGTAATATCGGAGCGAAATCGGAAAAAGAATGATAATCTGATCTGTGAAGACACAAAAAAAGGCAAACATATTTAATGATTATTTTTGTAGTCAATCAAATCTTGATGACTCTAACACACAAATGCCAGACATACCGGACAGACGAACAGATGGACTTAGTTATATGGTCATATCTGAGAACGTGGTAGTAGACATTTTGAAGATTTTGGACGTATCAAAAGCATCGGGACCAGATCGTGTAAGCCAAAGACTTCTCAAGGAAGCACCTGGAATTTTGAAATATCCACTGTGATATCCTGTCTTTATCACTTAGCAAATGTGCTAATGTTTCCTCTGTATTTAAGAAAGGCTCTCCAAGTGATTATAAAAACTACAGACCTATTTAATTGCTAAGCGTTATTGGGAAAGTGATGGATAGATGTGTTTTTAAGCATATTCATAATTTCTTACTTGCAAACCAGATTATTACTCCAAACCAATCAGGTGTCACACAAGAGGACTCAGCCATTAATCAATTGCTTAATATTACAAATGAGTTTGGGAAGGCATTAGATGTCGGGAAAGAAATTAGAGTATTTTTTTGCGACATAAGTAAGGCGTTTGACAAAGTTTGCCCTAAGGGGTTGTTGAGAAAATTGAAAGCTATTGGCATAAAGGGTTCTATTTTGGCATGGGTACAAAATTATCTTTCCCATAGAAAGCAAAGGGTCGTTATTAATAATGTATCCTGTGCGTGGGGCAATACAAAGGTTGGAGTACCCCAGGGGTTCGATCCTGGGACATCTGTTATCATTGATATTTATAAATGATATCATATCTGATATATAGTCCACTATTAAGTTGTTTGCTGGTGATACTAGTTTATATTTGATAGTAGATGACCCCCGAGAATCGGCAAGAAACTTTAATACTTATCTAGCAAAAATCCATAGATGGTCTTCAAATTGGCTAGTGACCTTTAACCATCAGAAAACCGAGACCATGACAATTTCATGGAAACTTCGCAAACCTGACACTTAGTTGAAATTTAATTAATAAAATATGTTTACACTAAAGGATTTTCCTCAAGTTTTGAGTCTCATTCACATTTTCCCCAGTTTATTTTCGCTGTTTTATTGTCGAGCCTGCGACTTTTGTCGCAGAAAGCTCGACATAGGGATAGTGATCCGGCGGCGGCGGCGGCGTTAGCTAACTTCTTAAAAGCTTTATATTTTAGAGGGTGGAAGACCTGGATGCTTCATACTTTGTATATGGATGCCTCATGTTACGAAGTTTCCGTCAGTCACATGTCCAATGTCCTTGACCTCATTTTCATGGTTCAGTGACTACTTGAAAAAAAAGTTCAGATTTTTTGTAATGTTAAATTCTCTCTTATATAAGTAATAGGATAACTATATTTGGTATGTGCTTACCTTGCAAGGTCCTCATGCCCGTCAGACAGTTTTCACTTGACCTCGACCTCATTTCATGGATCAGGGAACAAGGTTAAGTTTTCGTGGTCAAGTCCATATCTCAGATACTATAAGCAATAGGTCTAGTATATTCGGTGTATGGAAGGACTGTAAGGTGTACATGTCCAACTGGCAGGTGTTATCTGACCTTGACCTCATTTTCATGGTTCAGTGGTTATAGTTAAGTTTTTGTGTTTTGGTCTGTTTTTCTTATACTGTATGCAATAGGTCTACTATATTTGGTGTATGGAAGGATTGTAAGGTGTACATGTCTAGCTGGCAGGTGTCATCTGACCTTGACCTCATTTTCATGGTTCAGTGGTTATAGTTGATTTTTTGTGTTTTGGTCTGTTTTTCTTATACTGTATGCAATAGGTCTACTATATTTGGTGTATGGAAGGATTGTAAGGTGTACATGTCTAGCTGGCAGGTGTCATCTGACCTTGACCTCATTTTCATGGTTCAGTGGTTATAGTTGAGTTTTTGTGTTTTGGTCTGTTTTTCTTATACTGTATGCAATAGGTCTACTATATTTGGTGTATGGAAGGATTGTAAGGTGTACATGTCTAGCTGGCAGGTGTCATCTGACCTTGACCTCATTTTCATGGTTCAGTGGTCAAAGTTAAGTTTTTGAGTTTTGGTCTTTTTTTCTAATACTGCATGCAATAGGTCTACTATATTTGCTGTATGGAATGATTGTAAGGTGTACATGTCTAGCTGGCAGGTGTCATCTGACCTTGACCTCATTTTCATGGTTCAGTGGTCAAAGTTAAGTTTTTGAGATTTGATCTTTTTTTCTAATACTATATGCAATAGTTCAACTACATTTGGTGTATGGAAATATTTTATGATCTATATGTCAGTCACGCAGGTTTTATTTGACCTTGACCTCATTTTCAAGGTTCATTGCTCAGTGTTAAGTTTTTGTGTTTTGGTCTGTTTTTCTTAAACTATAAGCAATAGGTCAACCATACTTGTTGTATGGAAGAATTGTTAGCTGTACATGCCTGCCTAGCATGGTTCATCTGACCTTGACCTCATTTTCATGGTTCATTGGTCAATGTTTAGTTTACTTGGTTAATGTTAAGTTTATGTGACAGTTGTATTAAAGCTTTATATTTAGGACTATCAACATAATATCAATGATTAGTAAAGAAGGCGAGACATTTCAGCGTGTGCACTCTTGTTATTTTTAACGAAGGCAGTAGAGTAGTAGCCATTTGAAGAAATAATATTTAAGGAAGTACCTTTCGATATAGATTTCAGATGCACGCGAATTTTTGTAAGGTTTAACTTGTGTCAGTGGATAACAAAAAATGTCCTTTCAAAATGATTTCCGGTCCTTGTTTTAAAAAAATTGCGGCAATATAATGTCTTCGTCAGCGTCGTGAGCGTCGTCGTCCGAAGACATTTGGTTTCCAGACAATTATTTGAGTATAAGTGAATTAATCTCTATGAAATTGTACCACAAGGTTCGATACAACAAAAGGAAAGTTGGGATTGAATTTGGGGGTTAATGTCCTAACTGTTCAAGAATTAGGGGCAAAAACAAGCATTTATATATCCCTTTGCACAGTTAATTAATTGATATCTTTAACCTGTTTAAGGATAAGAATATGTTTGCACTCGTTTGTGGTCACATGAAAGAGGGTCGATCCATACAGTCGTATCTTAAGTTCCACCGGGGTGCATTGTACATGTCAACTTTTGATCTCTTTCCTCTCACTGACCATACTCTACATAAAACGGTACAGAAATCTATATTATGAATCATAAGTATTGAGAACAAAAATCGTCGGTGAAGTTGTCAAAGTTTGTCATAGCTTGTAACTGATTGACATGTGATGGTTTGTATCTTCAACAAAGAACACTTTGGTCACTGTGGAGATTAAATATTGTTTGTGGTATTCTATATGGCTGATATATTATGCAATAGGTTTATCCAATAAATTACATTTTTAATATTGACGTCCTGCTAGTTTCCAAATCAGACTCTAAGCCTTGTCTTATAACAATTTTTTTCACAGATTTTCACCAATGGTGTGTATGTGGTTGTTAATATCAGATTATATCTTATTATTGTGTTTACCTGTTTTGGGGGTAATTTATACTAAACATAGTATGCTATACATGCTATATTGAGAGAAATGCTTTATTCACCAAGTTGAACTCCTTAGAAAGATAATCATTGAATCCATGAACATCCTACAGAACATTATATATTTGTCAAAGAAAACTGTTCATAGTTCATATAGTTGTTGTTTTATAATAGAATAAAATAATAGTTCAAGTTATGAAGTCTGTTTTTTAGCACAACAGCTATGGGGCAGGGGTTTTGATTCCCCGAAGCTAAAGCAAATACTCAGAAATCCTGCTGGATAATACATTGTCGCTAATATTATGATATCAGGAAGAAACATATTGCTTTTAAGGTCAGTATGTCCGCATTATTAAGGTCTTTTTTTCCTTTAAGTGAACACCAAGTGACTTCCATCTATATTCGGATAGAGATAGATCTACAGAAGTGCAATACCGTAGATGACAAAATACCATAAAAAAGTACAATACCAACATGATCAACGTAAATCATACATGAAAACGGTCGTTGTAATGCAGTGCGTACGGTTGCTATGTAGTTTCTAGGCATGCAACAAGCGAACAAAATGTAAGATTTGTACAATTGCCGTTTAAGTACCTACAAAATAAACATAGCTTTGGTTAACAAATTATTGATTACATAAAGTATGTGGTTGCTTATTATAAGGTTTTGTTGCTATGGGTCATTCTGGTGGTTAAGGTGTTGATATATACTCGTTTAAATAATATAGATAAATAAAACGTAATTGTTTGAGATTTCCATATCTGTATTATACAATGATACATTTTTATTCATACGGAAAAGACGTATTTTTTTTATAGATAAGGTTTATAATAGTATATTAATGGCAGGTTTCAAATCTGTTGCTAGGCAAAAAAAAATAATGATAATAACAAAAACAAACAATTGTAATTTCGATACCTAGTCTATATTTCAATCTTCTGCAGGATTAAAAGAAATGAAACTCAAAATTCAAGAACGTTTTAAACTTAAAAAAAAGCATACAACTTTTATATATTTAGGTCCAGTAATGCTTTAAAACTTTTCCAGGGCACAGGTTTGTCTTTACTCAAATTAATTTAGAACTGTAAAGAATGCCACATTGCACAATACCTTATGATGAACCATATTCATGTTTCAATGCTAATTATATGGGAATTGAAAAGGTTGTTAAGGACTTTTTTAAAACAATAAACGGTAGTGTAATATGAAAAAATCAGATAATCCAATTATTTTTATCTTCGAATTAATTCATTGTGACTAGAATTTGCAGCAAGGACAGTCAAGTTCACCGTTTCAATCGAACACGCCTTTGTTCGATTAAATAAAGAAATGGAGCCGGATGGACATAACGGTAATATGAAATTGATTATGATGAGCAGTGAACGATTTGGCTTAGGTAAACCAACGGAATTTTTTAACACCAATTGTACTGGCATACTTCAAGGTCGGCATTCACGAGTCAATATCATACTGCGCTAAAAATTATAATACATTGTACATGTAAAGTAAAGTAATACTCTAAAAAAGGGATACACAAACGTCTTTGAAAAGAGACATGTTTTTTTCCCTAAGAAATCAGCAATATTTCTACTCTCTCCTGATTTGTAAAATCAAAATATGAATAAAATGAGATGTAGAGTATACAGTGTTGCTCAATCGGTTAATCAACTGCATTCGATAAGCGGTTACACGGTCTATTTCTGTATACTTTCTATTTACACAGTTTTAAATTATTCGAAACACAATGGTTTTTCTACCCCCTGGTATAGAAGGCATTAGCCGTATTTAACTTTTCGGAATTTTTGGTCTTTCAACTTTGTATTTGGTTTGGCCTTCCAACTGATTTCAATCGAGCGCCATTGAGGAGTCTCATGCAGACGAAACGCACATCTTTCATTTCAAATTATAGTCCTGATATCTATAATGAGTTTTGAAAACCACTGGGTCGATGCCACTCCTGGTGGACGTTTTGTATCCGTGGATATCTCCAGCCCAGTAGGCAGCACTCCTGGTGGACGTTTTGTACCCGTGGATATCTCCAGCCCAGTAGTCAGCTTTTCTGGTGGACGTTTTGTACCCGTGTGTATCTCCAGCCCAGTAGTCAGCACTCCTGGTGGACGTTTTGTACCCGTGGATATCTCCAGCCCAGTGGTCAGCACTTCATGGTTGACATGATATATCAATGAAACGGTCAAATTAAATTTTCTGTTTTACAAAGTTTTGAATTATTCTAAACACTAATGTTGTTCTACCCCCAGTCATTAATGGCCGTAGCCGTATCTGGCACAACTTTTCGGATTTTTTGTCTGCGGTGTTCTTCAATTTCGTATATTATATGCATGGCCTTGCAAATAATTTGATCCGAGCGCCATTGATGAGTCTAATGGTATCTTTGATGGGGTTATAAAGTTAAGTTTTGTTAAGCCAAACCAACCGACCATGTTATTATGTAATCGGTTATAATGTATTAAAAGCAACAGGAACATGAATGACATTCTCAATATGCTAAAACATTACAAATGATAAGTAATGTTTAAAGTTTACTGAATATGCAACAAAACATCTATAGAGCATAGTTTCAAGGATTTTAACTCTACTATAACTTTTGAAGCGTACTACGAGCAAAGTTTTTAGTTCTGATTAGCTAAACAATCAACAAAAATTATCAGCAACACAAGATCTTCAAATAATTCAAATATTTGACAGGAGTTGAAACAGTTGACATAAAACAAATGATTTTAACCTACTTAAGCTCACCTGAACCGATTTGTCTTTCAGTAGTAATTGCACTTAAATGATGATTTTAGACTCATTAAAAAATAAGCGTATTAGCGACACACAAACTTCTTTTTCTATATTTTCTGATGTTTGCGTTAAAACGTAAAGGGTGTACACCTCTGAAGAACCAAACATTTCTAGCATTAAACATTTTTTCTTAACTTGATTTTTGGGTTTGCTTTTTAAAAGTACCCCATTTTTGATGATTTTCCCATTTTTCATCAAATTTTACCTTTTTTTGTGCTATTATCATGAAAAAAAATCACAGTTTCACAATTAAACTTTTTTTCATACTTTCACTAAAGATGAAGTGGACCAACCTGAATAAATTTAACTGAAAAAAAAACTATAGGTTGGTGTTAATATTAGAAAGTTTTATAAAATTTTGTTGCTTTTTTGTGTCAAATTGACAATGCTGTCAATTTATGATTTTTCTCTTTTTTTACGAACAAAAAGCATACTATTTCAACTTCTTTGTTATAAATGATTGAAAAAATACATATCTAAGAATTTTGAAAAGAAAAAAATTGATATGGGATGTACATATTTTTGGTAAAATCATTTCTTTGTACCCCTCATCCATTTCCTCAACATTTTGGCTGATGACGCTGACCGGATTGGTTGTAAATTTTGAAAATTTTATTACTCAAAAACTACTTATTGTAAGAACTTTTTTTCATACTGTTTAGTTTGATTATAATATATTTTTAAATTCATTGATATTTTCCACATGTATCACATGTTTTGGAAATAATTCCCGAACGAGATTTCAACGAGACTGAAATTTCAGAAGGATACATCCTTTAAACGCAAACCTTTGCAAGATAATGCAAACATTTTGATTTTAATCATTCATTAAGTTTTGTATATTTCATAACTAAAAACTACTTGTGTCGCAACTACATGTTTACACAAATTAAGAATGATTTTTGTATGAAAATTATATAAATTTAAAATGAAAATAGATATTTCAATAGAAATAACACGATTTTGATCTACGGAAAGTAGCAAAGTAAAGATGCGCTAAAAAATTTCATGCAATTGTGAAACGATAATAGAGAAAATGATCTTTCGGCTTAGAAATTGATTAATTAGTATGAAAATTTTGTTAAAATCTCAGAATATCATAAAGATTCTTTTACAAAAATCAAGGGGTTTTGAATTTAAGTCTAGTAAGGTAACTATTTTTGAAAAGACGCTTGGGTAGCAATTTGAATGTAAAATACATAATAATTATAACCATTTTTTTTTTATCTTGTACAATTATTTCAAGAGGGGAGCTTGTTTGGATCTATTAAACTTATCTTACACAAGGATCGTATGAGCGCTTACTTTGAAAGTAAATATATAGTCAGCTACATTAACAGGGTTGGTTTTTAATTTTCTTCTGTACAACTTCAATTTACTCAATTGTCTTTATGTTCTCTTGTGCTTTATTATGTCATGATTATATGCTAAACACTCCAGCATTTCACTTGGCAATAAGTGCAAAGAGTAATAAAATTTAATACATGCAGCCTCGTCCACTTATAATAGCTACATTTTTTATACTTCCCTTGAAACATGAACAAGAAATAAGATAACACAAAGGTTTGCGTTGTAACGCAAATATAGGAAGAAATATAATGTAACGCAAATATAGGAAGAAATATAATGTAACGCAATTATAGGAAGAAATATAATGTAACGCAAACATAAGAAGAAATAAAATGTAACGCAAATATAGGAAGAAATGTAATGTAACGCAAACATAGGAAGAAATATAATGTAACGCAAACATAGGAAGAAATATAATGTAACGCAAACATAGGAAGAAATATAATGTAACGCAAATATAGGAAGAATTATAATGTAACGCAAACGTAGGAAAAAATATAATTAAAAAAAAGTTTGTGTGAGGCGCTAGTACGCTTCCGTACATTTAGTAGTTTTTGCCTATTATCTTTAAAACTAATAGGTAGGTAGAAACAACGAAATTGGTCAGCTATAAAAGATCTACAAAAAAATGACCGTTATCATCAGATAGCTCATTAATTGTAGGAGTAATTGTCAATTTTAGAGTATTTACCTCTAATCATGAAAGACATAATATAACAGATGGGTAGAAAATGTAAACAGCAAACATGATCGGTTTACAAGATCTATAAGAATCCCAATATGACAGAAACCATTGGTTGACCCCTTATAGTAGAAATTGCTCTAAAAAGACGATTTTTTACCAGCTTTTGAGTTTTTGCCTTTAATTTCAATTTTGGAAAGGTTGGCGATTCAGGCTCTTAAGAGCCTCTTGTTTATTTTGAATTCCAAATACTTCAGCACCAAAACAAATCGGCACGAGAAAATGTCTGTATAAAGAAAAATCGGCGCCTCATAACGACAAAAAGCTACTTTGTTTATTTTCCACGTTTAGCTTTCAGACGTTGTTAACTCAACAGTTTTAGTGGCCTTCCATTAAAGTTTCTTGATACTGGATGTTTAATAATATGGCATGCACGTTATTGCGTAACAATTGGAATGTTTATAGCAATAAAATCTACGTACAGGTATTTTGTTTTCGTAAAATTTTAGAGATCAAATGATCACCATCTGCAAACACAAGTTTTGCACTTTTGATCTTCATTGCAAAAACCTATTATGGCTAACGTTACTTTATGCAGTTTAGAAATACCAAAAACAAAGTTAAATTCAAACGCCATATTCAATATTGTTAAATTAAGTGACAATCTGTTTTTACAATTTATATGAAAAATATGACTTAAATAGTGGCAAGTAACTCAACATAAAGCTTTCTTTTATAAAATATATGCAAAGTCTATTTCACTGTATTTAAGTCGAACATATTTTTGTGGATATAAACAGTTTCCCCCAAAGAATATGAGAACAGTAATGTTTGTCTGATTAACTTTGATCTTCTGATTTATGAAAAATCAATACGTATGAACTGTGTTTTGATATTTAATTTTAAAAACATTTAAAGTTTTGTCTCGCATTCGACGAATATAACGGAAGGTAGATTAAACATATGCTAATCCGACGCATACACTTATATTGACGGCGGCGTAAAATATGAAAGTAAGTATACTTTCATGGTCAGATGGGAACTGGGCTAGACAAAAATTATGAAGTACATAAAATGCCTTATTCATACCGGAAATTTAAAGCAGTTGAGTGTATACAATTTTTTACTCGTCCTCCAGTCAGTCCGTCAGTCATTTCCGTTTTCGGATGCTAACCCAAATATTTTATAACGGATTGCAATCTTAATCGGATATGTATATCATATTTGTTTTTCGTTCATTATTTTGTATATAAATCTTCCTTTGTTTATCATATCAACAGTCATTGTTTCTTAAAAAAAACATTGATTTAAAGGTCTCGTAAAAAAAACTAGATTAAATATTATTTCACCTACACCTTTTCCCCTTTTCCATTCTTTTTTTCTTGTTGTTCTGTATAAGTACCATTATATAACGTTTACAATATTGAAATCTCAACTGAAAATTCTTATAGTTCAATATCTTGTTTTCATTTATAAGTATCGGTTAGTCTATGTAAAGGTATGTACTATGAAATTTAGAGCGAGTGGCTAGCTAACAACAGTACTCATGAGTTTTTTCTTTTGCTCTTTTACAAGACAATTTGTACTGATTTTCCATTGGACGAGAATGGGTGAGTGTGTTCTAATTCTTAAGGCATAAATATCAGAAAGGAATCATACTTGAAAGTAGACCGAAAAACCGTGTCACCAGGCCATTAAAAGCTTTTCACCTTCATTTTTTCAGGGCGTGGGTATGTGAGTTTTCTCGCTTAAAGTTCTTTAATGATCTTAAGGATTCGTCTAGACATTTGTTAGTTCGCCGTGATCTCAGTTCATGGTTCTTGGATTTTATAAACCAAACTAAACTAAATTAAGTTTCATGTATCTGAATGTACCTAACCTTATATAATCATCTTATATTTTTTTTATTCGAATCTTATAATACATAACCATACTCTAATATATTCTTATTCATATCAGTAAAATACGTTCGTTATAAAATGAATCATTAAAATCTGTTGATTTTTACTTCCAGGTTATCAACATTGGATAAAGTATGTCGTTGTTGTAACCATAGTGATAACCTGTTTATACGTCACTTTATACCAAACAGGTAAACATTATGGAAGATATCATCTCTGAAATAAAACGTTTAATTAGTTCAAGTGGATCCAATTTAGCGTCTCTTTGGATATATTTATTGACAGATTTGTATGTATTAGCATGGGTTTCAATTCAATTGAGGAAAGACAATTGCTACAAATATGCTACAAGCTTTTTATCGAATATGAAACGTATACAAAAAAAAAAAAAAAAAGTAGCATGCATGTATAAAGCAAACAATGGAATACAGCGGAACATTTATTATATCAAGATGTTGACCGGAGTTTTTTCAAACATGTATGGTCGTGTGAGAAGTTACGAAACAATTAAGACTGTCCTTCTTGGGTAGGTTGGTCTACCTTTTTGGACAGAATTATGCCAAATTGGACGAAGATATATAAAGAAATCAACTGTTTTCACTTTTTTATACACCTATACGGAGTTATTTGCTTTCAGAACGATAGGCCATACTTTTGAAGAAACAACCCGGACGATAGTGCTTCTGGGCATAAAATAATGACCTGTGTCAGGTCATTGTTAAGTCCGATTATTATGCAAACATTATCTAACGTAATGGGTAGATTAATTGTATAAGAAAATTCCGATCAAGTTTTGTTCCAGTAATTATTGCTGTCACTATGATTTCATTAAAAAAACAAACAGTTAGTGCAGGATTTGTAATGAATATAACATGCAGGATTTGTAATGAATATAACTTTTCAGTTAGTTTATGCAGGATTTGTAATGAATAAATTTTTCAGTTAGTTTATGCAGGATTTGTAATGAATATAACTTTTCTGTTAGTTTATGCAGGATTTGTAATGAATATAACTTTTCCGTAAGTTTATGCAGGATTTGTAATGAATATTACTTTTCAGTTAGTTTATACAGGATTTGTAATGAATATAACTTTTCAGTAAGTTTATGCAGGATTTGTAATGAATATAACTTTTCAGTTAGTCTATGCAGGATTTGTAATGAATATAACTTTTCTGTTAGTTTATGCAGGATTTGTTATGAATATAACATGCAGGATTTGTAATGAATATAACATTTCTGTTAGTTTATGCAGGATTTGTAATGAATATAACTTATCTGTTAGTTTTTGCAGGATTTGTTACGAATATAACTTTTCAGTTAGTTTATGCAGGATGTGTAATGAATATAACTTTTCAGTTAGTTTATGCAGGATGTGTAATGAATATAACTTTTCAGTTAGTCTATGCAGGATTTGTAATGAATATAACTTTTCAGTTAGTTTATGCAGGATTTGTAATGAATATAACTTTTCAGTTAGTTTATGCAGGATTTGTAATGAATATAACTTTTCTGTTAGTTAACTAATATAATTTTTCATTTAGTTTTTGCATATAGTCATCTTATAATAAATATAATTTTTCATTTAGTTTTTGCATATAGTCATCTTATAATAATTTACCGGTTAATATGAGTGTTGTTTCGGTTGATCAAGTTTTACTGCATTGTGCCTTTGCACATTATATACTATCAAATGAATGCTCACCTTCAGTTATTGCTGTAGTCTGTAGTGGACGATGCATTAGCAAAACATTGGAATGCTTGTTAATGCTTGTTATTACATGTTATGATTTTATTTTTTGCAGGTTACATACAACGCACAAATATACCAAACACATTTTTTTTACCTGAACCAAAGGCGATCAACAAAACAGAGGTAATACCAAACAAACAGTCACAACTTAAGTATGCAACACCCACGACTACTTTTGTCCCTGTTTTACCTGTAGTCAGAAGTGACTGGAATGAAACGTTTCCAGTCTTTTATGATGTACCTAAGGATATATATAAAACTGATTGGTGGATGTCAGCAGCGTTTATAGAATGGTTAGTAATATAAGTCAATTATTGACTGATTCGATCATAACAATTGAATGTGTATGCCCTGACAACGATAGTAGGGGAGGGGCGCTATATGTTTACCGGTCTGTCTGTTTGTTGGTCTAGTACAAGTTATAAAGTGTGTGTGTAAGGTATTCTGAATTTAAGGCCATTTACCATGAAGTTGCGTCCTAATCAACATGAAACTTGTAGTATATAATACATGTTCATTATCTTTTGAAAAGATATGCCAAATTAAGTTTTTGACATGTATTTATTTATTCATGAAACATGGATATGTGCGAGCGGTGCATGTTGCCCTATGGACATACATTCGCATCCTGTCGGAATGACGACGTTAACTCCGATGTTGCGTGTAGGGAGTATGTTAAAGATATGATTTTCTAAAGTTTAACAAAATGATCACTAAGATAATTTAAAATATAAAATTATGTAAATTTTAATTATTTTGGTATTTGTCTAGATTGTAAATAGTCTAATTAATTAAATGGACTAGACTTTTACTCTAGGACGACCCACAAAAGTTAATGAAACTTTATTTCCAGTGGGGTCCTTTTAAGAAAGAGACTTGCAGTTCACACCAAGCTTGACACATATAAATAACAAAAATCATTTAAAATACCTAAAAAAAACTTCATATAACTGAATAGGTGTAACATTAATTGTAGTAGGTATTTTTTTTATGCCTTAAGGGGCATTAAGTTTTACCCTTGTCCGTCCGTCCGTACATACGTACGTACGTCCGTCCCAAAGTTGGTTTCCGTTCTCTTACTTTAGTTTGCCTCAACCAAATGTTATGAAACTTATACAAAATGCTTATTACCACAAAACACAGATCAAGCTTGAATTTTGGTGGCGTCACTTTAACCGTTCTAGAGTTATGCCCCTTTTCAAATGGAAAAATTGCTGAATTTTTCGTTTCCGGTCTCTAACTGAAGTTTGCCTCATCCAAATATTATGAAACTAATACACAATACTCATTACCACAAAACTCAGATCAAGTACAAATTTGGATAGCGTCACTTTAACCGTTCTTCAGTTATGTCTCTTTATAACTTTATATGATATGCAAGCTGGGGCATCATCTGTGTCCCATGGACACATTCCCCATTTATTTCTTTTTTAATAAGATAGAAATTGTAAAGATGAGTGAAAGTGGATAGAGCAGAGATTTTTATGAGTTTTCAGGTCAGATAAATGCCTCTGGTATATTGCTTATATAACTACTCTTGTTGACGTTAAGCAAGCCTGAAAACTGTCAATTGTACAAAAGGTGTAGACGAGGGCCCTTTTTGCCCCCAATATAATTCCATTATTAATTAAAGAATTTACAGTATCAAGATGAAGCATGAACATATGAGAGTTAAATAGAACGATTTTTGTCGAGCTCTTCTTATAAAGTCGACAAAATCTGGATTTTAACCACATTTAGGTCCTTTTTCTTTTCTTTTCTTTTTTTTTTTATATATAACTTGTAATAATTTGAAATAAAATTGAGAATGGAAACGGGGAATGTGTCAAAGAGACAACAACTCGACCAAAGAGAAGTAAACATCTCAAGGCCAGCAAGGGTTCTTCAACACGGCGAGAAAATCCCGCATCCGGAGGCGGGCTTTAGTTGTCCCCTAAACAAAACTGTATACTAGTTCAGAGAAAATGGACGTCACACTAAACTCCGAAACATATAAAGTTTATCTAGTAGAAGAGACCATATTGGAATTTTACTGAACATTTTCATTATTAATGCTGCATTCACTGATTTAATGGCTGGTTGGCAAATAAACAATAAGAAAGATTTGTCGGGAAATACTTATTGTCGAGCCTGCGACTTTTGTCGCAGAAAGCTCGACATAGGGATAGCGATCCGGCGGCGGCGGCGGCGGCGGCTACGGCGGCGGCGGCGGCGTTAGCTAACTTCTTAAAAGCTTTATATTTTAGAAGATGGAAGACCTGGATGCTTCATACTTTGTATATGGATGCCTCATGTTACGAAGTTTCCGTCAGTCACATGTCCAATATCCTTGACCTCATTTTCATGGTTCAGTGACTACTTGAAAAAAAAGTTCAGATTTTTTGTAATGTTAAATTCTCTCTTATTATAAGTAATAGGATAACTATATTTGGTATGTGCGTACCTTGCAAGGTCCTCATGCCCGTCAGACAGTTTTCACTTGACCTCAACCTCATTTCATGGATCAGTGAACAAGGTTAAGTTTTCGTGGTCAAGTCCATATCTCAGATACTATAAGCAATAGGTCTAGTATATTCGGTGTATGGAAGGACTGTAAGGTGTACATGTCCAACTGGCAGGTGTCATCTGACCTTGACCTCATTTTCATGGTTCAGTGGTTATAGTTAAGTTTTTGTGTTTTGGTCTGTTTTTCTTATACTGTATGCAATAGGTCTACTATATTTGGTGTATGGAATGATTGTAAGGTGTACATGTCTAGCTGGCAGGTGTCATCTGACCTTGACCTCATTTTCATGGTTCAGTGGTCAAAGTTAAGTTTTTGAGTTTTGGTCTTTTTTTCTAATACTGCATGCAATAGGTCAGCTATATTTGGTGTATGGAATGATTGTAAGGTGTACATGTCTAGTTGGCAGGTGTCATCTTACCTTGACCTCATTTTCATGGTTCAGTGGTCAAAGTTAAGTTTTTGAGTTTTGGTCTTTTTTTCTAATACTATATGCAATAGTTCAACTATATTTGGTGTATGGAAATATTTTATGATTTATATGTCAGTCACGCAGGTTTTATTTGACCTTGACCTCATTTTCAAGGTTCATTGCTCAGTGTTAAGTTTTTGTGTTTTCGTCTGTTTTTCTTAAACTATAAGCAATAGGTCAACTATATTTGTTGTATGGAAGAATTGTTAGCTGTACATGCCTGCCTAGCATGGTTCATCTGACCTTGACCTCATTTTCATGGTTCATTGGTCAATGTTTAGTTTACTTGGTTAATGTTAAGTTTATGTGACAGTTGTAATAAAGATTTATATTTAGGACTATCAACATAATATCAATGATTAGTAAAGAAGGCGAGACATTTCAGCGTGTGCACTCTTGTTTTAATAAATAGTTCCATAAGTGTTTATTTGTAAATCATTAAATTAAGTCTGAAAATCAACAAAAACTTATCCTGTCATTTAAGGTTTATGCTCTGTTTTAGTGTATTATAAGTTTAGTATTTTTATTTGAAATAATATGTACTATACATGATACAAAACTGAAGCAGAAAAAAAAACCCAAACAGGACATTATTTCAAACTGCAATGGTAAATGTTTTCAAGAAACCTTTCAAATGAATAAAATGTTTCCATCCCAGAAAGAATCTTATGGTTCATATATGATAACAGATGTAAATGATATTTTATATTTTAGTGAAAAATTCGACAAGGATAACGATTACAATTAAATTATATTATAATTATATCTATCTAATATTCATTTTGTTCACATGCAGAATTGAGAATGGAACCTGTATTACTACTAAATGTGTCGAAACCATAAATGATTAAGAGGATATACTTGTGAAAATATAAGAGATCTCAAATGCTTATAACCATCCTATACTACAAAATACAAATTGTACATTTGGTCATCCTTATTTTTCAAATGTCAAAGATTTAGTGAGGCAGGTGCCACCTTGCCTGAAGAGAAGCTACGCCTATGTTTTCATTATGTGCAGTCAAGAGATTTATGGCACTTTGAATGTTTTTTATTTTGTTGCTTATTGTAGAAAAAGTACGGCTTCTGAACTCAATTCCTCTGGAGTCTTATTTTTTTTAAGCTTTCATACATTGTAAATATAAAATTAAACAGATGTGATATGATTGTCAATGAGACACCCTTCCACCCGAAACCAAAGATCGAGGATTTAAGATTGTTTGTGACCATTGGCTGTTGATCATACATTATGACTATTTACATTTGACAATTTTTGCAAGCGTTAAAGGTACTTCGACTATATATAAGTTTTTGCTTGTGTTGCAACTGAGACCTTGTGAACACCACTCTTCTTAAACCATGTCAGAAAGTTTTCATACATATTAATAGCAATTCTCTGTATCCACCAACCAATTTGCGGCACGCATAGTGTCAGATTTTCTTGAAATTTTGTTTTACATGACCTTGACCTCTGGCATTTAACCTTGTTACCAAATAAAATCAATAATCGTTCTGAACATTTGTTCTATTCAAGGTATGGGTATATTTGTAACCATTTCTGTCAAAATCTAATAAAAAAGACTATCAAGGTCAAGGTCATCAATAACCTTTTACCTGTGGATCAAACTTCGAGCTCTTGTAAATACTCTCTTTTAAAAGGATCGTTTTGCTATTAGGTTCACATTGTAGGAGGTGACATTCCATATTCTAACGAGTTATGTTTCTGTTTGATGTTTACTATAGTGGGTCGTGACTTTCTCCTTAGAGGAATATGGTGAAAGTTATTCGAAGTCACGGTACTACATCTACACTCTGTCGTATAGTGCAGTTGCCAAATAATATTTGATAAACTAATAGATACACGCAATTGGATATGCGAATACAATCTAATAAAGAAATCAATCCCCACTGATTGGATTAACGAACTAAGAAGCGCCATTAGTAATCTGACTAATTTGAAGCACATTAAAATCTAGAATATAAACAACATATTAAAATTATATGGAAAGAAATTTATTCCCCCTAAAAAAATCAATTAAAATCATTACCAAAAATACTACATACACGTAAATGTACTAGTGCAAAATGTGAATTCTAATATGACGTGCTTCTTTCGCTTTGTAAACAACAGCGTGATAAAATTCTCGATATATCTATACTTAGCGCAGACTCAGAGATTACATATTGATGTCTGTTACTATTTACCTCCCACTTAAATCCACATGTATCGTAACCTATGTGCAAACACTATGTCGATTTCGTTTTGTTCAAATTGAAATTGAAAAAGAAACTACAGAACCGTTATTCCTATTCTAATGCATAATAAAAAGAATTAATGCACAAAATTAAGAGCTTAAACAATCATGTATAAAATCAAAATAAAATAAAATTCCGCTGAATTTCGTGAATGATCTTGGCCCATTAACGTCATGTCATAACATGACGTCATACGAATGAAAACTCTCAAGCTGAAGGTTTTCCGTAACGTATACGCCCTAAGTTCGGATAATATCGTAATGGAGTTTTGAGGTAGGTGTTGTTTCATTTTCTATTCTATTGCATTATTTGCACATTTGTGGATTTCAGCAAGTCAACATGGCGGCTCACTCCTTAGTTTAATACGACATATCAGCTGTGAATTTGACAGTAAATAGTAGCCAACGAAAAAAAAATGTTTGGGTTAAGAATTATAATGCTGATAGTCAAGCACTTTTAGGAAATTTATACAAACACATAATACGGAATTTAAACACACATGTTTATCAGGTATATATATTACTATCCAATTAATAATGTCAGTGCTAGATTTATTTATGATAACATTTCTAGTCGTGATACTACTAACGCTCAGAATAAAATTCGAATATCACGGCCCAGGCCATATGTAAATGTCCAACAAATCTATGGCTTCCAGGAATTATTTCTTAAATTAAATGGAAAAGAACATTTAATACGGAACTAGACTGACAATCAGTTTGTAAAAAGCTTCACAAGCTGCCTGTATCAAACAATGATTTCCAATTCCAATGGAATACATAATACTGAATTTAAATTGTACCAAATGCGAAAGTCCGATGGCCTTTGTAACTTATGTGGCAAATGTTTTGAAACCCAAGAGCATTTATTCTATTATTGTTATAAAATTAATAACGTCATTGAAGAAATAAAATGATTGCTATCTCTGTGCATAGATCTAATGCTTAGCTTTGATGTCCAAAACATAATTATTGGATATAATCAAGATCTTGATAACATGAACATGCATATTGGAAATTTTATAGTGTTTTCGAGAAAATTTAGTATTTGGAAAGGTCGGAATGACATAAAATACAACAAAACAGCATTTAATGAAACATCTATCCTCCGTAATTTTAAGAAAGATATGCATGATTTTATCAAAATGATCGCTAAATAAAAAAAAAAAAAACACAAATATTCGGAATAGACAAACTTGACCGTTCATCTCAAATATTGTAATTACTATTATAGTCGAATTTTGCTTATTCTTTGCTTATTCTTTGTTCATTTTGAAGATATATATATAGTCTACATTTTTTTTTAAATAACTTGTGCCTCGGTATTCTAATCATAATTATCATTTGAATACAAAAGGTATTGTTTACACCTTCATTTACCAACAATCGCCATTATTTATATAAGTTAATTTTTATATTTTATATATATTTATATTACATAATACATAGTTGTATTACTTTTTTGTAACAGTATTTTACTCACCACAGATTGTGTTTCTTTATTAGTGCTCATACATTTATTTCACAAATAATCCTTCATCGAAAATGCTAAAGTGTTTAAGGCACGTGTCCTGTCGATGTCAATACCTAACATATAAAACACTCCTGTTGTGCATCATAAAAAAACATTTCTTTATTTCTTTTAATGAACGCACGAAAGACTTTCATTCGCATTGTATCGAAACACAATAAGCATTTTAATAAAATAATGGTTTCTTTAAAATTAGCTAGTAGCCTTTGATATTTAAAAAAAATGAAGGAATAGACAAGCTGGGACCAAGAGACGGTATTATTCATGCAAGTCCCAAGTGCGGCAAATTGACATTGAATGAAAAAATAAATGACTAAACTCTACAAACTGTACAAACAAAAACAAAAACAAACAAAAAAGAAACTTCACTGTGTAAAGGCATAGAATAGACTGAGTTACGCTATTGTTTTAGAAACTACATGTTGTAGTGGCATCGTATATTGACCAATACAAACAGATGTGGTACTCGTCAATACAAAACTCCCCAAAATGCATAAACTTTTATAGACTGTTAAAAAAAAATTGGACTTTGAGAACTACCTGAATATTCTTGATGACAAATATGTGTTTACCTTATGTAAATTCAGAGCAGGTAACCATGCGTTGCCTATAGAAAAGGGGAGATGGCAAAACATTGCCCGCAATGAATGACACGTGCGTTGTGTAGTTCCGATGATATAGGCGACGAATTTCATTATTTGTTTTGCTGTTCGCAATTGAAGAACGAACGAAAATTATTTCTACAAACTAAATTTTCACTTAGTCCAAATATAATGTCAATTTGCTCACTCTTTAATACTAAAAAGCAATCAGTTTTAAGAAAACTGTGTTTATTTATTAAGTGTATTAATAACAAAGTAAGTCCCTCCATTAGAGGAAATAGATAAGCTATATACTATCCACAAATAAGTTAAGATAACTTAATTTGAAATCAACTCCTTAACATGAAACTTTGGTGAATTGTTTATATATATTGAAATAAGGTCCCTTTTGATTTTTATAAAATTCTGATTTTACATTTTGGAGTATTGGGACTTCCTTTATAAAAAAGGGTCTTTTTGTGTCAATTATTGGTTGCTAGGCACTTTTTCAATACAAATGAATGATTGCTATGCACTTTTCCACCACTATAAATGAACTTTTGTATTAAAAAAGGGTGTTTGTTAAGCACTTTTTACATGACCTTGATTTCTTTCTGTTGACCTGTACACAAAATAGAGGCTTTAATCATCCTGAACATTTTCTTCGTGTATTGTTTTCTTCTTTCTATTATATTGTCTTATAAAATCCAATTAATATACGCAAGGTCAAAGGTCATAGGTTATCAATGACCTTTGACCTTGGGTCAAATTGAAGGTCATTTAATGTTCGATAGTTTCCGCATCATAGTCAGTAAAAAGTAATTACAGTTTTCGGGTTATCTAAATAACATGGTCGAATTTCTGAAGAAGAAAAAATGACACATTTTGGTTTCCATAGCAACCATTCTAGCACCCTGAATCCCACACATTTTGTTGTAAATTATTGACTAGAAACATTAATACTTGATATTTATAAGCATAATTAAATGGAGATGGATGCAAAACTGTACAGTTTGTTCATGCAAAATGTGTATAATTTGCCTTCACAAATATAATGAAAAATGACCCCTGCTCCTGCCGTTGTGACAATATTCAGCCAAAATATTTTTTATATATGACATTGCTGTTATGTTTGTTAAATATCATGTTTCTGAAAAATATTAACAAATATCATTAAATAAAAATTAGTTTTGCGTCAGAATGCCTGCAAAATAGTTTTTTCAATGCTAAATTCACCAAAATGTACGGGAAAACTCATTGACTTGGTTGCCATGGCAACCGTGGCCTAGCAACACTTTGGGAGGCATTTTTCTTAGTTTTTCACCTGATTATATGGTCAGGTTAATTTCAGGAAATGCGAACCGATCCCTCTATATGAAATGGTTGGTGGTTACGGAGAATTTCTGTTAAGATTGTTTTCATAATGTGCAGTTGACCATACTATACAGTCATTTAGATTGGTTGATTTTTTAGTTTTATGTATTTTTTTCTTCTGTTGAATTTGATTTGAAATTTTTAACATGGCAGTACATCATGAATAATTTAGGATTTATTTTTATTGATGTATGGTATTATGGAAGTGAATGTTATGTATTACAGATATCATTAATTATTTAAGTAAAATAATGTTTCGTCGTGCTTGTAATGTCTATAACGTTGTTTGGTCGTCAACCCTTTAGACTAATATTGCAACGTTGCAAAGCAGCCCGGGAGAGAGACATTCGCTACAGCTCAACATCCTGGTTAGCTTACCTTGCTCGTGCATTGGGCAATGTGAGCTATTGCTAATACATGTCGACCGGTCTTAGTCGTCCATTAAATTATTTTTTTAATCTTCTCTAATACCACTTAAATCCACGTCATGTATACTGTTATGGATAGTTGTCTAAATGACAATTATATCCAATCTCATTATTTTATAATAATCAATTTCAACCAAATTTTACTGAATGATCCTTAGGGTATCTAGAATATAGTTAGAGTTTATGTCCCCGCAAGCCTACGTATATGGCGGCCACGTCTATAAAAATAGACCAACAACTGCGATTGAATAAATATCAATTAAATCGGACAGGGACAGAAATGCTCAGAATGTCAAGATCTTCCCCCTTTTCTACCAAAATGATCAGATAATTGACCAATTTTAGATTTTTTTTTATAAAAATATAATATATAGATTAAGAGAAACTGGGAAAAAAAATTATCAGCAAAATAAGATATATAGATAAGTCACCATTCTAGCCTAACTTATTATAGGAAATTTTGTCCTGCAATAATTATGTTTTAGTCTTTGCTATTGAAAACCACAATAAATAGACAAAAACTGCATATAGAAAAAATGATCAGCAAATCAAGATTTACAAGGAATTCATGTGATGGAAATCGTTAATTGACTCCTTTTAGTTGTTCTTAAATGACTTATCCTTTATAATATCAATGTTTTCAATGGATGGATCTTGATTAAATCTGGTCACAATCTAACTTGTAGTGTGGTAGATGGCAGCCACTTTTGCTTATGATTTTAATTTTGAATATTTTACCAAAAACTTAATTCAGGTGCCACCTTTGAGCTCCTAATTTCTTACATAAATGTTTTTGTTTTCAGGGATTTAAAACACAGAAGAGTTGATTACCATTGTCAGGACATTAAAAAAGTTGGAAACTGGTGGATCTGCTTAGATGAAAAATATGTAATTAAGAAACCATGTTTAGTGTATTCATTTGGGTAGGTAGCTTTATAATAGAAAAAAAAGACTAGAGAACCGGATCCGGATCCAGGATTTTGAAAGGCGGGGGCCAAACTAGGCACCTTTTGGAGCAGGACATGTAAAAAGTCTAAGCATTAATCATATCCGCGTCTACCAAACTGTAGCAAAGGTACGTAGGATAAAAAGCGGTTGAACGAATCACAAACGATGTAAGGTGTTGCATCTTAAAGTGGTAAACATTCCTATCGTAAATCATATTTAAAAATCGTGGCATGAATTTTTAAAAACAAGTATAGGATAATGCAAAAATGTTGATATACATGTAAGCTTTAATCTAGTTCCTTGCATATCTGTTACTTATAATTGTACTTTGATAACTTAAGGGGATACATTATTTATAAAGTTCGATACAACATTTTTGTACAACGATTTTTTCCAGTAAAAAAATGATATTACTTTAAGCATTCATAAAATAGTTATTAGACCACTTTCGAGTTTCGAGTTCGTTGCATTTCCTTTTAAAACTTTGGTTTTAGTGAACATCATTCGTGCGTTTAGGGGCATCGCCACTTCTTTCTAATGTTGAGCAAGCAGTTGAAAAAATAATAAAATATAGCACGAATTATTCGGCAAATTAATATAGGATTAAACGCCTTTTTAAAGGAATTTATTGGTGTATAAACTCGACCAATTCACTCACAGTGACTTGGTCCAGTTTATACACCAATAAATTCCTTTGGAAAGGCGTTTAATCCTTATAATTCTTTAAAATTGGAGATAAAGAATTGATTTTTCCACATTCGTAACCTCTATCACACGTATATTGTATATTTGTGTTATTGAATTGGCCTGGTGCATGAATACATGTGTTGGTTAACGCAAAAATATGTACTCCGTGAAATTTGCTATCTGATTAAAAAAAAACTACAAAAATAACTTGTTATCATTCAAATGAATGTTTTTATGTTTATTAATTAATTTAACGATTAGCGCGAAGTGAACATAAATATTTTTAACGTCGAGCCGGATTATGTAATTATCGCCGCCATCTTGCTTACATTGGTGACAAAAAGTAGTTCGGTCAACCTTCGTCTATCGAAAAATAAACAACGTCAAGATCCACTACCGGAAGCCCTCTCGACCAATCATATTAACGTATTCCCTAATATGCAAACCATATAAGAATTATATTCTTATAATTGATAATCAGCACTGCTGTCATTAGGAAATTGTGGTTAGGTACCTACGGAACAAACATTATTTCTAGTTTATCCTGCATAATGACAATCACGAAGCCTGGCTCCTCTATCTGGTAAATGACGTCATAAAGGACGAACTTTTCCGGTGAAGGACATTACTCGAAAGTGGTCTATGATCGTCTATTCGACTATTGGCAAGTTGACATTTAAACTATACATAAGCATTTAATCAATATAAGGAAGGAAATGAGCAAATTCTAAAAGAAAGGAGGGGGTGTAAGTACTCGTGTATATCTTAAACGCATGAGCAAAAATAATGGTTGAATGATCACAAGTCTGAACCAATAAGAATGCACACTTTTTAAAATTTAGTTAATGTTTGTTTGTATACCTTTTTGCATGGACTGGCTCACATATAATTGAAATGTTTATATTAATCTCACCAACTTTCAAACTGTCTTTTTGCAGAATTGCTAATGATTTTAGTTTTGATGATGATATGGCTGAACATGGCTGTGAAGTACACTCCTTTGATCCAAGGTAACATATTATATGATGCTCTCCTTTGATCCAATGTAACATATTATTTAATGCTCTCCTTTGATCCAAGGTAACATATTATTTAATGCTCTCATTTGATCCAAGGTAACATATTATTTAATGATAAATTGAAATCATAATGCCGATAATTATTAATCGAATTCAAACGCTTAAATATTAGCCTCATCAAGACAATATTTTTTTCTATATAATTTATTTAGTTCAGTGAATTTGAAAAAATGTATACTCGTCCTTAATGACAAATAGACGTTTTTATGAACTTATAGTTTTAAAATCACTCTGAAAGTATTTATTGGGATATACATCACAGAGACAGCAAGCCAACGACTCAATGTCAAATGTATATACAATATGTCTTAATCACCACAAGACTACTGATAAGTTAGGGGAAAACGTAACACTAACAATCAAATATCTTTCTGTATGATAGCGTGTTTGCAAATATCAATGCATTTTTCATTCCTATAGAATGTATATCGAAATAGGGAGATATTTTGAACAGTTTTATAGGCATTATTTCCTTTAGATTCAATGATAACAGATAACTCGGTTATTTGGTAATCTTCAACATATAGTTCATTGGAATTAGCCCTTAGAATTTTTTGATATGTTACATGTACATTGAAAATGATTAATTTTCAGTATGAAAAAAAATGATTATACCAGACCGTCGTCAGTACGTTTCCATGCTTTAGGACTGAGTAGTTATACAGATGACAAGTTCCTGCCTCGTAAGGATATTTATGTTCATGATAATGAAACATGGACTATTATGACACTCAGTTTAATAAAAACAGCTCTAGGTCATAAAGAAGTAAGTTGAATACACAAGCCATTACATCTTTGGTTTTTGTTTTTGTCTTACAATATTTAACATTAAAATGAAAGGTTTGTATCAACATTAGAATGATTAGTATTGAACCTTTCAAACTGCCAAATATAATCAAAGAAATTTAACATATATAGAAATTTCATTTTTCGTGGATTCCTGCGTTCAAACGTGTCAACGATCACATCACGTTCTAAATGTAAATTATAATGCACGTTCATCAATGCACCAATAAAAGTGTGTATATCGACCCTCTTTTTCTCAATATTGTCTTTGCATTGGCTCTTGCCTCGGCAAGGCTCTTTTTACAAGGTTTGTCCCCCCGGTCGAGATGTTCGTTTAGTCTAGTACAAGCATGTGCCATATTATTTTATGATTTTATGCTAAGGTTTCCAAATTGCCAACCGCAAATAGAGCACAATGAATAAGCTCTTCTTTTGAAGGGGAGGACACAAGCCCGTTATATCGAATAAGCCAATTTCTCTGAAACAGTCTGTTCTTGCCTGCGTATGTCTTTACTGGAAAGTTATACATGCAGTTTGTTCCTGGTTGAAAATGATTCCTTGTCAAATTAATTTTTTGTTCATTTGTTATTTGACCTGTTGATTGCTTCACAAGGCCAATGTCGTTTATATCTATATTTATGACGGGGGTTGTTTCATGATAACACTCACCAGTATTACTCGTAGCAATGCTAGGTCTATTACGAGTCGTTGGTACTTCAGAAGGGGCTGATTTGTGGCGTTTCCTGAAGAACAGAGGGTAAAAGTTACAAAAAAATGTAAAATGTCCGAATTTTTAGACAATTGAAAGAATAAGGGTATAGGATTAAGAGTGTTAATAAGACTCAAAAACGAAAATATAATATTTGAATTTAGACATCACAGTAGAAAACCATCAATGGTCGAGGAAAGTTGCCATGCAAATTTAAACTTTTAAAATTTAGTTAAACGTAACATAAATAAAATTATTAATTACCTACTGAAAACATCTAAGATTGAGGACTATCTCTTCATTTTCACACCTACACATCAAAGGAATCGAAGAAGTAATTAACGATCGCTGAGCACATGTTCCTTCTTACTTCTACGCACACGTGCTGGTGTATCAAGCCTTCTTAGATTGGAAACAAAATGCTTTTCACTTGCAATATTCAAAATTAATATCTATTGACATATGTATTACGAATAAACCTTATACTTACCTGTATTACCTGTAAAATGAATAAAACGTAAAAAAAAGTTAATCCCCAAATGCGCACAGATGTAATGCGCCGTATAAACATACATGTCAAGATGCATTCCAGGAAGACACCGTAAGTTGTTCGCCTTAAGGTAAGTTATTACCAGTGATAGACAAATTGATAAACTAATCAAAATATTATAATAAAATATACTTGGTGCACTTTTTTTGTCAACTCCAGGGCACCGGGTTGCCACCCCCTGGATCCGCCTCTGAGTCTTGACAAGCAGACAAATGCTTGCATAACTAGAAAGATGCAAATTGTATAAAAAGAATTATTGGAATTTCGGATCATTGTGTACATGTTTTAACCTACCTAAAGACTTCACTTTTACATTAAGTTTGAATTTCTGCTTTTCGACATCAACGCTGTCATTACACTTGCAATTTAACGGAAACATTTTTCTTTTTCATCAATAAAAATTATTTCGTTTTGGATTGGCATGAAACATTTGCATCTGGACGCAAAGCTAACAACAATGAATGGCCGTTTTTTGTGCCATTGAGTAAACTACTGCAGACGTGGACTGAAATCCCTCGAGAAGGTTGTGATCCCGGTAGCCAAGTAAATGCTCCTGTACAGATTTAAGATTGATATTATTATTGGACAATTTGTAGCTACGTGAATGTAAAGCATGTCAAGAAAACTATACAAACAAATATTTCAGCTTCTATTCAAGATTGGTCAAAAACCTTGAATTTTGTTTGATAATTCTTACTAGTACTTAAGGATATTTCGAATATTTTGATTGCTATGAATTGATAAATATGGTCATACTTAAGAGGGAGATACCAAGGGCAATCTGATAGAAATACAGATCATATGTCCATGTTTCGCTTACAAGGATATGAAATTGCTCCATTCTACTTTCTGTTTTAAACACCTTTCGGAATCCTATGGTTTTGTCGTAATGATAAACACCTTCAAAATCTTGAAGGGAGAAATTTCATTGGCTGATGTAATTAATACAAAAACAGAAAGTAGAACTGAGTGTTGTCATATCCTTGTAAGCAAAGCGTGAACAAAGGATCTGTATTCTAATCAGAATGTACCAAGGGGACAATAAAACCTCATAAGTCGAAAAAAAACCAGACCAAATTAAAATGTCAATTGTTCGTGAATTGAGAGGTCTTTCCTTTTCGTAATGTAAAATGTATGTTTAAGTATGAGTAGAATACATTGAAAAGCTCTAAAACACACATAAAACCCTTCAAATATGGTCAAAAACACATAATTCGCTAATTTGAACATGACCTTGACTTGACCTTATGACCTTTGTCAAGGGCATTGGTCCACGATGACATTGCAAAAGACTGCATGGGTCTAGTACCTTTGTTTCAAGAGGTAAAGCTAATTTTGTGTTTTGAGAAACCGTTAACGGGGGTTATGCCCCTTAAGGAAAGGTCAAATCTCTTCGGTCAAAATATAAGAAAGATGCGCCTTAATGTCACAAACATTATTCACTATTCAAGACTTCTGCAAGTGTATTTTGAGATATCTCATAAAAAATTGTAAGGTCAAAGTGCAAGGTCAACCCTAAAAAGCTTTAAAACACACTTAAAACCCTTTAAATAAGGTCAAAAACACATAATTCGCTATGTGGGACATGACCTTGACCTTTGATCTTGTGACCATTTTCAAGGTCATATGAATTGATGATCATTGGTGAAGATCCTCGGTGGCTACGACTTACGGTTTCTGAATTTTAGTGGCCAATAGACATCGGTTAATTTTCAAAGGGGCATTACCCTACCAATGAGTCGTTGAATCTTTACGATCCAAATGTAACGAAGAACCAGGGTCTGGTCCTGAACAAATACCACTCTTTGGTGTTTTCTACCTATTACGGTTACGGTGTTTGAATGATACCAAGGTTTTTAGGTTTCGGGCAAATAACTCCGGACCGACAAAATTTTACGACTCACAGGGTGAGTTCCGGATAGGTATTTGTGACACCGATACAAAGTGTGAACCTGAAAGCGACACGTCTTACGGTTACGGAGGGAAATTTTGTCAAAGTTTGGGGGTAAAAAAGAATAATAAACAGAAGAAATATAGAAAGGTCTTTCCCTTTTGGAAAGGCTTGTATATTTAAGAAATACTTCATTTCGACCCTTTTTGTGTGTCAACAAATGGGTGTTAAAAATTATTACTTGATTTATTTGTTATAATTATAATTGTTTTAATAAAACCGTACTTATGGTTTCATTTTTACCGTAAATATGATATACATTTTAATCCATATTTGTATATCAGTATTCAAACGGCACAAAACGCTTCAAATTAAAATAAATGCGAATGCTATCTTATGGAGTGCATGGGGGCTTCCACGCGACATATCAGAAAACGGGAGCGATGAGAGATTAGTTTTTAATTAGATTGGATCAATAGATAAATAGGAGTAAAATTCGTAGTAAGTATTTTACTTTATTATTTTGATGCATAATGCAACTTAATATTATTGTGATGTGTAATATTACTTTAAGTTATTGAATGTTATGTTGGTAAAACATATATTACTGCTTAATATTTCTCTTTCGATTTTGTAGAGGGATATTGATGTGTTGAAAATAGACGTTGAAGGCCATGAGTGGGCAGTAATACAAAACCTGTTTGAAGATAAACTCTTCTCACATGTTAAACAATTCATGTTAGAGTATCATTTATTCCCGGATTGGCCACTGAAATCCGACTATTCAAAACTTTTGCGGACTTATAAAAAGTTACATGATATAGGATTTCAAAAATTTGTGACAGCCATACATCCATTGATTCATATACCAAAACAGTTTAATATTCAGGCTGATGTTGCGTATGTCAATACAAAATATATTACGTCCAGAAAGAAACGAAGACCTCTCTTCAAATTGAATAAAAAAAAGACAAAAAGGTGAAATGATTTAATGCGGTATTAATAGGAGTTATAATAACTGAGGATAGTATGGAATTGAAAATTATGAACATGGTTGCCTTTTGCACTTTATCGTAGAATCTCGGTGAAATTACATGTATGGTTTTGACATGTAGCTTATTATGTTGTTAGTAGATGATTTTATGTGAATTATAACATTATATTTCTTGTCCTATTTTGCGACTGTTGGTAATATAATGCATACGTACAAAATGTAATAATATACATGAGTTAAATGCTAACCTTCAAAATGATATTTATATAAATGAAAACTGTGTTCGGCAAATTGTATGAAACTAAATGCCAAAAATTGTAAATCAATGATTATCGGTTCAAAACAGAGACTTTATTCAACTGAGAATAGTTTAGATATCCATATTTCAGATGAACGATTAGAGACTGTAGATTGTGAAAAACTTCTTGGTTTATATATCGACAATAACCTAAATTGGAATGAGCAAATAGATAAAATGTCGTGTACAATATCAAATACAATCAACACAATCAACTTATTACAAAAGATACGAAAGTATTTACCTATGCATATGTCGTGTACAAGTTGCGATTTTGTACATGTTATAACATGTACAGAAATATTGTACATGTTATAATTTGTACAATGCAAAAGTACATGTTATAACATGTACAAAATATTGCTTAAAAATTGTTTTAACTTGTACAACATTAGAAAATTAATTCAAATAAAGCAGACTATACATTTGAAATTTATTGATTAATGAGAACACCAATCAAAAGCTTCAAATGTTATTTCTTTAGAGCACAGTGATCACAAAGTTTCAGAAATATCTTTATTGTTTCAGGGCTTATGTTGGCAGAATGTGTTTTCGTGTCATTGTTTGTTTTATGCAGTCCAACATGGCCTACAGCAGTGTGGCTGTTTAATAATAGCATACATTTCCTCAATGGCAACAAAGTAGATAACTGGTTCATCTAAAAATTTTATTAACGTTTTAAAGTATACCCTCCTCCCTCTTTTTTTTAACATGCAAACATTAAAGCAAGGTCCCCTATGCACGTTCTATAAAAGCCAGAGAGAGAAAATGATTTTCATTAGACAACGCTTCATTATAAATAACTATGGAATTATTGAATCTGCTCTTCAACATGTTTGGCCTTGAGCATAGCTGATGTAAATCTTGTGCATCAAATTATTATTGTTTGATAATTAATCAGACCATATATTGCATGAGTCGAATGTCATCTTGATGTTTTAAATTTCTATTCTCTCCTTTGAAAACATGGTATTGTTTGCAGAGGAATTTTTCACTTGCATCTTAAGTCTCAACTAGTACGAACGTATTTTCCTATAGCCTTCTGTGGGGAAACTCACACTCATAATTCATCGAGTGAGAATACTGAATAATGTTTGTTGACTATATGTGTGCTTTAAAAGGTATTAAATAATTATAAAAACTATTCATCTGGTCAATAACTGTATAACTAAAGGACAAAACACACTAACATGAATGAACAATAAGTTAACGAAGAGAATATTATTGAGGTTACTGACATGTGTTGTAATAATAGAAACATATCTTTATTTTCAAATTTTGTACAAGTTAAAACCATTTTAAGCTATTTTGTACATGTTATAACATGTACGAGGTACTTTTGTACTTGTTATAACTTGTATGTTTGCATTGTACAAGTTATAACTTGTACAATATTTTTGTGCATGTTATAACATGTACAAAATTGCAATTTTTACACGACACATATACGTATTATTTATTTTAATGCTTATATTCTGCCATTGTTTGATTATTGTTGCAAATGGGGTAGTTAAAATGAAAGTGGAATAAATAAACCTAATAAGTTATTAAAGAAATCTGCTAGGGTTTTATTAGAAGCTGACATAATAACATCCTCTACTTTATTGTTTAATAGTTTAAACTGGTTGAATGTGGAAAAACGAATTCAATATCAAAAGACAATACTTTATTTAAATCATTAAAAGGATATGGTTCCTAAATATTTACGACAAAACTTTCATTTTACTGATAATCAAAATTATAATTTACGTTCAGCTGATGAAAAACTATTAAAACTTCCGAAGCCAAAAACAAATTTTTGAAGACAACTTTTATATATTCTGGTTCTCAAAGTTTACCAAATGAAATAAAGATGAGTAATATATTTTAAAACAATAGTTACAATTGTTTCATGAAGAAGGCAGATTGATATGCGTTTTCATTAATATCTATATAAAAATGTACATTGTATATATATATAGATTCTACCACTGCATCGAGTGTGATACGATATTTATCCACTCGAGACAGTTAAATTTTCAAATTTAAAACGCGAGGCTCGCCGAGCGTTTTAAATATTTAAAATTTAACTGTCGAGAGTGGATAAATATCCTATTACACGAGATTTGGTGGTGGAATCTGTTTCTCTAATGATTTTCAAACAATACGCAGGCAAATTTATTCCTTCTTTTTGAATGATCTGCAAAAAGATGTGTTCTTTCTATGTGACGTCATCAGGCATGGTCGCCTTTTTTCATGCCGTCACAATAGGAAATTCAGAGGAAAGCAAGAAAATTCGACGTCATAATCGGATTTTAACCAATGAAGAACTGAGATCAAACGAACCACACGTTGATTAATTTTTTTTTATACAATGGGTGCAGAAAGGGATAAATTCACGAAGAATTAGAGAAATAATTATAATATTGTAACACGTCTAAATTGAAAACAACGTTCAAACCTATGATTGCGTTGGATAAAACCCGCAATTTTTATACGTGTGCATGCAAAACAAATTTCTTGGTAGAGGGGTCTAAATAGAGCACAAACAACATTTTCCAAAAGACCAAAAAAGTGAAAAAGTATATTTTAACAAAACGCATTTGACTAGCAGGTCGAACAACTGATGTTCTTAAACCCTGCTGACTGCCATTGGCGATTGCCAAATAAACGGATCACCAGATGTAACAGCATGGATCTTATCATTAATTTATTACCAAACAGAAAACAATAAGTTTGCGGAAAAGATTGGAATACCGCAAACATGAAGTGCAAAAATTTGTACACCATATCCGGATTTCGACAATTAATGTCCCTTCAGTGATGTTAGGAATCGAAACGGTATTTGGAAGGCCATATAATTTACCTCAATTTAGGAAATACTCTAGAATTTTGAAAGAGTTGAAATAGGATGAACGGATCATATAAACCCGAAGGCAAATATAATATAAGCCCAAACGAAAAAAATATTAAAACACGTCTAAATTGAAAACAACGTTCAAACCTATGATTGCGTTGGATAAGAACCGCAATTTTTATACCTGTGCATTCAAAACAAATTTCTTGGTAGAGGGGTCTAAATACAGCACAAACAACATTTTCCAAAAGACCAAAAAAATGAAAAGGTATATTTTAACAAAACGCATTTGACTAGCAGGTCGAACAACTGATGTTCTTAAACCTTATAATATTGTATGTACTTTATGAATATGTTATTATTATTTTGAGGACTCTCAGGAAGATTAGTTTTAACTAATGGGATTATCCTCTTGCAATAAAGATTATTAATTTCTTCTCCAAAACCGCTGGTCAGATTAACTTAGGGTTTCACAATATGTTAGACTAACATGTCTAGTGGTGCAATCAGGGTTTTGTTTGTGCAATGGGGTTTATAAACGGGCACTTTAAGGGGCAAAAAGGAAGGAGGGTTTACTATAGAACTCTATGGGATTTTATTTTTTTTAATTTTCGAATGATTATAACTTGAAAACAGTTAGTGATAGACACAATCTTTATAATTGAAAATGTTCTAAATGATAAAGCACATTAAATGAAATAAAAGGTTAGTCCCAAGGGGTAACCCCCACCCCCTGCCATTTGGGAAAGTTTTAATATCTTGTAAGTGGTCAAGATCCCCAACCCTAAACCATATATATTCTGGTTTGTCATGATAAAGCACATCAAATGTAATACAAGGTTAGTCCCCAGGGGTCACCCCAGCCCCTGCCATTTGAGAAAGTTCTAATATCTTGTAAGTGGTCATGATCCCCACCCCTAAACCATACATATTCTGGTTTGTCATGCCAAGATGATTTGAACGATAAACAGGGTTAGTCCCAAGGGGTCATCCCGACCCCCTGCCATTTGAGAAAGTTCTAATATTTGTAAGTGGTCAGGATCCCTACCCCTAAACCATATATATGTTGGTTTGTCATGCCAATATGATTTAAATGTTATACATGGTAAGACCCAAAGGGTCATCCCCATCCCCTGTCATTTGAATATGTTCAGATATCTTGTTAACGGTCAAGATCCTCACCCCTAAACCTTTATATTCCTGTTTGTCATGTCATAAAGATTTGAATGGTATATAGGAGAGGTACCCAGGGGTTTCCCCCACCCCAATGTTATAATATCTTGTGAATGGTCGAGATCCCCACCCCTCCTGTTCGTCATGTTCCAAAGATTTTCATAATATATAGGGTCAGTCCCCAGGGGTTCCCCCCACCCCAAATGTTCTAATATCTTGTAAATGGTCGAGATCCCCATCACAAAACCATACATATTTCTGATTGTCATGTCAAAAAGATTTGAATGATATATAGGGTCAGTCTCAAGGGGTACCCCCACCCCAAATGGTCTAATATCTTGTAAATGGTCGAGATCCCCACCCCTAAAACATATATATTCCTGTTTGTCATTTCACGAAGATTTGAATGACATACAGGGTCAGTCCCTAGGCGTCACTAAAGATATCATTTTACTGGACCAAACCAATTTGTACTGGACTTTGCCCAATGTCAGCCGACCATGGGAATGACGAATTATAAGAGGTTCGTTTGGGAGACTTCGTAACAGCATCATGTTACAATCTTTTCTTGTTTATTTAAATATTACCAGCTGTGGGACCGTTCCTTCTGGTCCGTATAATGCATTTTTGAATATATCACCCTGCTCATTCGCTTTGTAACATTCGTTATCAGCGACGTCACAATGTGTGAGGAGACATTATCAAGTTTACGTTTAAGATAAATTGTCTAAGAGCGGGGAAAAAACAGTAATAGAACGATACACATATCGGAATAGATATCATCAAATAGATGAAGCTTTTTTTACCCCCCCCCTCCCTTTTTTTTACTATGACGTTGCTAATAAAGTTCCTCACACATTGTGACGTCGCTGATAACTTCTTATCAAACGATGTGACGTCGCTGATAATGTCTGCTCACGTTTTAAAGCCGTGATACGTGATATTATTTTACGATATCTATACGTAGAAAACCCGATAGTCTGTTTATCGTTCTTTTACTGGTCTTTCCCCCCTCCTTTAGACAGTTTTACACTTGACGTAAGCAAGCTTGATAGAGTCTCCTCACACATTATGTCGTCGCTGATAACTTCTCCTCGGAGATATTGCCTGCTCACGTCCGAAAGCCGTGATGAGAGAATTACGGAGCGACTGTGCAGGGTGACATAGGCAAATGGAAGGACGGTGATGGTAAATATCAGCTGCAAGCCGTGAAATGAAGCTTTTTGTCGAGTTAGTTCAACGAACGAACGAGCGCATCTCACTTTTTGTCGTTTTGTTTATGGTGGAAAGCTGTATTATTTTACAATAACAATATGAGTTTGATGAAAATCTAATTAAATGATCGTATTTATTAAGTGTTTTTATGATAGAAATACAAGTTTTCTTTTGCAAGAAAATCGGAAAGATTGGATCAAGCTCACCAATGTTGAGTTAAACATTATGATGTCTGTGATAATTCTGGATCAAAGTTATTAATTAAGGCCAGGTAAAGCAAAGCCACAGGAAACCCTATAAGGCTAAACTTTAAAAGTTAGACAAAAAGATTTGATGAATCAATGAGACATAATGTGACCTCAACTTTCGATAAGGAATAAACTTTACGCTTCCCTGTTGAAAGTTTTTCAGCTAGTGTTCATTGTTTAGATGGCAATATCAGTGCAGTGACATCTGGGATATAAGTATGTTTTAATGCTCCACCTTGCACGCGTGGCTATAATGGAAGAAGACAACAATCTGGAAAAGGATACAACCATTCGAGCTAAAGCAAATGTTTAACAAAATATTAATGACGTATTAATATTTCATGATAAAGTGTTTTTCAGAAGTTCTGAAAAAAGTAAGAAAAGTCGACATCCTGAAATGTCTCGCCTTCTTACCTGATCATGATCGCTGATCCAGGAAATGAGGTCAAGGTCAGGCGACTCCTGTCGGACAAACATGTAGACCTTTGCAATGATTCTATATACCAAATATAGGTGTCCAATCACTCGTAATAAGACCTTTCTTAAATGCACAGGTAATACTTGAAAACGGAAGTAACCGGTATCAGTTTTGTCAATGTCTTTCGGCTCTTGAAATGATCATTAAAATAAATATACGCTCGAAAAATATGTTTTGAATGTGTTACATATTCCTTACTCCTCGAAAATTATCGAAAATCAATTTTTACCTGATATTGATGAACAATCCATATATGTACCTATGTATACAGAAATACATACTAGCAGATAGCGTAATGTTTTGCAACCTTTCTGTAAGCTTCCAAAAAGTCATTTTCCGTCAGTTTAAAAGTATGACAAAATTTACACGACGTAAAATTGGATTTTTCTTATATAAATGTGGGCACATAAAAGCGATATCGTAAATTTTGTTTTGCTTTATTTAGTTAAGCAATATAACAGCAAATGTATAATTTTTACTGGAAAATTTTTAAAGGACAATGATGTGATAAAAATAAGTAACTGCATGTTATTTACCTGTTTATATGTATACTGGTATGTTCATTCGTGTTCTTGTTTTACGCCTGGTACTGTGTATTCCATTGAT